TTGGTGTAACACTGGGGCATTTGAATGATTCAATCAATACTGTATAAGATTTCATTTGAACAATGAGCATTATCAGGTGCTTTGACCTTAGTACACAAAGTACTATACTTCATGCCTACAACAATTTACCAACAATACTGGACTATGGAAAATTTGTCTGCATTCACCTTCATTGAATGCATATTCAATCAAGATTTAACTAGTTAAACAGCATACCTCATTCTGTTGACGTATAAAAGCAGTGTAGTGACCAACCTCTAAGGTCCCACTATGATTGACTACAGCAAATAATGTATACCTAACAAATAATGTACAAAACATTTTAGCCACATGACAGGGCTTGGCTGTGTAATATTAAGTCCACTGATGCATACCATGCAATGTAATAGTTGACATCCTATAGTTTTGAATTTCAAATCCCTCTGTGCACATACATGTAGTTATCACAAGGAAAACTACCTATACTTACTTGCTATCATAAGACAAGCATGAGGAGTTTTCTTGCCCGTTTAAATCTACACTTTGTCCTAACCTGAAAAACAAGCATAATATWKCARCTACAATTTTCCCAGCAGGGAGAGGGGTGTTTACCATATCGCTTACCTTTCTGAAGTAAAGGGTGTCATATCTAATTCTTGTGGAAAAGGAATGTATGTTGAAATCTTTTTAGACTTTTTTGAATGTTCAAACCTCTATAAAATAAAATAATAATAAAAAAACAGTGAGTTAAATTCAAAATGATATCGCTATGGAATAAAGTTAAGATTGGCAGTACCTTAAGGTGAAAAGACACTACAATAGGCAGCTTTTTCATAGACAGCTGCTTTGTTGATTCTTGATATGATTGGCATTTATTACACTTAATTTTTGCTTCACTTCCTAGCCTTTCTGGTCTAGTAAACCTACAGAAACGAAAAAAACAACTTTATGTACAAAACAACAAGAAATGCAGCCAGGTACCCTGAACTTTTGCCAGGAGATAACCAATAATGAATCACAATAGCAAACTAAATTCACAAAATTACATCTTAGGTTTACCTTCGCAAACACTCTATTAATGACTTGGGTACAAAGCTTTCATCTAAATGTGTACATTCTGGTGTTTGTCCATTACTATCTTCACCTAGACATAAAGATTGAAACATTTTACCAATCAGTGGGTTCACATTAGATAACTTTCAGTTAAAATAGTCAACAAGCTACGGTTAGTTATTCTGCCTTTTTAAACTTTTTACAAACCTGGTAGAGAAGGATCTGGGGTTGATGCAGCTGAGGCTCCAGAACTACTTCTTCCATTCTCTTTTTCCCCATGACCAAGGTCAAGTGAGATGTCCCAGAAGGGATCAACAGTTGTGGAGACACAGCTAAAAGCAATAAACACAACAACATAAAACCTTAATGAGCAGACAAAAATACATCAATCAAATATACTTTGAAATTGAAAATGAGACACGTGGTGACATGATTGTTCATAAAATTAGTTACTTGATGTCTTGTGAGTTCATTTTGTATGATTGTAGATTAGTATATCATGCCAATAGGCTTTCATAGTGACCTAATGAAGAGCTGATTTTGTATATGACTGTAAAAAYAACTGGARGACTTTTGCACAGGTCTTGTCCATATTGTGTATTGATGGCAGTGTGTTCTTGAATCAGTATTTCTATATCGAATCTCTACACAGGAGGTTTAGTGTTTATGAACATTCATACCAAATTGTCTCTAGGTATATCTGACGTTACCAGGGAGGTAACAGTGTTAAGTTGAAAATGGGATTACTAAGTGCACACTTACTTGCATACTTGGCACGTTACATCAGACTGCAGTCCTCCAGTGAATATTCTATCTATTATACAGTTGCATTGATTGTGATTATTAGGTTTTAGGGTATCTTTGTCAGGAGCATCATCTGAAAAAATATTTCATCAACATAAAACAACATGGTTATCACATATAAATTTTCATTAAATGTTAATGCCATCAAATGAGACCAAGAGAGCTCAAAGGGTCTCAATGTGTTATCAACATGAGAAATATTTCAATATTATACCTTTACAATAATTATGCAAGACATCTAATGCTGCGATAAAGAATTCATGTGCATCTTGTTGTTCATAGCCGGCTAGATGGCGTGCATGTGTCCATACTAGATGAAGTAGTTTATATGGAGAATGTGGCATTTTTTGACCTGAATAAAACTAAAGGAGCAAACAAATAATATATATGTGACAGTTTCAAGCAGCTTTCTCCAATTAGAGCCAAAGTCTTTTGTTTTGTCCCCCAGCATGAAGCCTGCTTTGAGGTCACATGCTAGAGTCATGGTCTAAAGAGGTCTACAAGTTAGTTACCAGCAGTCTTGCTTTACAAAATAGATAACCCAGTAAAAATTGTCATTCTAAAATTACAGATTAAATGAAAAATAAATAAATACAAAAACAAATAAACAAACATATTCAGTCTACCTCTTGAAACAAAGATGCCATTTCACAAACAAGACAACTGCTACTTTCATTCTTACAGACATGCTGATCTGACAAGAAATAGTCCCTTAGAAGTGGTGTATGTGTCAAAGCCTGCACAATGCAATTCATAAAGCAAGTATTTCCAAGATTTATAAGACCCCTAAGACCTGAAAACAAAACAAAATACAATTATGCACAGAATTGCAAACATTGTTCATCATTTGTTATTGTTTATGTTACCTATAGTAGAGCTCCTTGTAACTTTTATTCTTTTTGGATTATCTTTGAGTAGTTTGGCTTCACCTTTAGTCGGATACCATGWGATATACTTTGYACGTCCATTAGCTAACAAWWTTTTKAAATAAAARATAAATAAACACAACAACACAATAAAATGTCTTTGTAAGAAATAACAAGAAAATTACGTAGCAATGGTAAACTAGAACTTCTCCCTGTAAAAACCCTGAGAAAATATAATTTTACTTTGGATATTCAAACCATTATTCTATTAACACACCCTAAGTAAAAAACATTATAACATCATAATTACTGTAAACATTTAAATGGCTAAAATGAAATCTTGTTTTTTCTCACAATACTTAATAAAAGAAGTCAAAATCCAGCAACAGAGAAGTTCAACAAGGGATACTAAATCTATTAAAACGGCTATTTAGTGTTTAATATGATCTATTATAAAGCTAAAATACAAAATGTCAGAAATAAAGGACTGTTGATGCTTACTAAGTCGTCTCCAAGCCCTACGACTTTCTTCTTTGCCAATTTTTTCCAGGTCTTTGTCATATTTATAGTCACCACATGCAAAACAATAAACACTGCCATGGCTCAGGTCGATCGCTGTTCACAGACAGTAAAAGAATTAAAAAAAACATATTAAACAATCGAATGAAGAATTCCGATGGAAATAATATGTTATATTCACCTAAAGAATGTCCTGAAGTACGAGCATGTTGTTGAATGTGCCGGCTACCGGTGTAACAACCGAAATACACACAAAATAAACAGGAATGCAATCGGCAGGAGTTTGTCCCACAGCTATGACAGTTACAAGACGTTGCCTAAATAAAGAGCAAAACTCATTGCGAAACTAGAATTTTAAATCGTGGAAAGAAAAGCAAGGGGGGATAAATCTTATAACTGACCTTTCTCTTCCTGTCTTCGCGAGACAGACAAGCTACAAAGTGAGTGTGGATTTTTTGATAGATTTTGATACCATTTCCTTGTTTGAAACGACTCACATGGACGCAGCTAACCATGATAAACAACTAGTAAAGGTTAGCATTAATATCCTAGGGTACGAAAWTGAGGATTTTGAGCTCTAAATACCATAGCCATGACACAACYGATCAAAGAAACATGTGTAGTTTGCGCGTACCTTATGTTTTGATATGCGCAAACCTCCAATCTCTTCCTATTGGCTGAACAAGCAACAATGCATACCCTTATATGGAAGTACATTACACACCCGCTAATTTCAAATGGGAAAACTTGGATATTTTTCACTTTTGAACAAAAAAATATCTTCTATCAATTTTCAAATGTTTCTGCTAGTAATAGTTTGCCCATCAAAAAAGGTTCAAGATAAAAAAGGTAGAAACAAAGACTGGAATATTTCACTCATTCTTTGCACAAAGAAAAAATTCCCCTGGGTTTCTGAGGATGGCACTATTTTGTGCTTATAAGCGTGTGGATTTAGCATATTGTAAACTACCCTGCGTGGTGGCTATAGGGGAGGGGGGGAAGGGGGAAAACGGAAGGGGAGGGGAGGCGTAAACATATGAAAAACAACACTGAAATATACTTCTTTGATTTTTATTTAATATTTATCATTATGATAAAACAATAGGATCATTCCCTAATGATATGTGAGAAGAGATTTTCACTTTATTTATCATAAACAGTGCACATACAAGTGAGATAGTAGAGAACTTTTAACAGCCACTAATGGAAAGACAATACGATAAAACAACTTTAGTCTTGGATAAAAAGAAAAATGCAATCAGTGCAAGTGCAAATTAAGTGAATCCAAAAGTACTTAGCAAAATTATGATATGAAAACTCTAAAGTGAAAATCATTGCACTGCGACTTCCTCGTTTCAAAGTTTGTTTGATTTTGTTCTTTCCTTGGTTCTGAGTGGTGGAGCTTTTTATAAACTCATTCAGTCATTGGTTGATTTGCAGCAAGCTCCACCCCAAAGTTGCAGAAAAACCTAAATCCTAATGATTTCTTTTGAACATTGAATGCAACGGTTTCTGCTGTGACACTCCATTGATGTCAAGTACTTACATAATATAAGGTTAAAATTTTAATTCAGACAGAACATTGATATTCATTATTTACAAAATTCTGAGACTGAATGTTACATCAAATGACATATTTTATTGTATTATCTCTTCCAGTGGCTGCTAATCTGTAGTATTGTATTGATTAGATTACTAAAGACAAAACATTGAATGTTTTATGCACTAATTCTGTGGCTGATGTTTTAGTGTTTGCTATTTTGCTATAACTGTGTCAGCATTCATTAGAGTTAATCGGCACACACTCTTTAATGCTGTAAAACTCCTTCTTCATTTAGAAATAAAAACCTAAATCTATGAAGATTGCAGAGCATGTTCAATAAATTTATCATGAATCACGTTCGTATTACATGGAGTTGTTATCATTTTTTTATAACCCAAAGATATCATCATCTTTATTTTCCATTTGCATCTGCCGTTGCTTGGGCCTTTGTGAGCCTGCTTTAACACTGTTTGTACGTTGTCCCTCAGCGGCTGCTCTTTGTGCAAGAAAATTGTCAAAATCTATTGAAAACAAATATCAAATATTGATGAGGACATTAAACCACATTTAAAAACTACATTTAAGTAGAGAGAGAGAGAGAGAAGTAGTGTTTATTTTTACCTTGACTGGACATTGTCTCTGCTTCACCTTCTTGTTTGGACTAGAAAGCAATGAATTGTCAGTTTAAACATATTATTTCTACTATTACTCTATTTTGTCAATAACTCTAAGTTTAAAACATCTAAATCATAATCACACTTACCTCCTCTTCACCAAGCCATGCCTCAATACTTTCCATGGCACTAAAAAAGTGTATATCATCAGATATCAAAATACAATTTATGGGTTTCTACATGATTGTAGTAATATGCAAAGTGGTTTAAATTCCTTTACTTCTCAAGTATGAAGAAAACTTCTCAGCATACAAAAAATAAACTGAAAAATCACAATGATCATTTCCCATTTGTCAGCACTTCTCAAGATCAAACAAACAATCACACACACAAAGTCAAAAGGACCTTCACTGAAATAAATTATCTGAGATGCAATTCATTGTATTGACATTATTGTTACCTTGGGTCAGCTTTCTGAAATGAAAAAGTAAAGTAGATAAATTCATTGAAGAAAAAGGAAGATATATACACTCAGGTGTTAGATCCAGGGGGGGTTCAGTGTGTGTACAGTCACCCCTTAGTTCTCCTATACACATACTGGCTTGTCTGCCTACTAATTAATCCAGGTTTTTTTGAAAGTTTGGCTCACCCCAAGGGTTCCTAGATAGACCCCTGATGACATCATTCCCTATTGTTTCAACCCCTAAAAAACTCTTTGGCACATGCCTATGCTGTAGTGCAATCATGCTTGTATTGTAATCAAGTGATTATATTCAGCCATGACTCACCTTTGCTTGACCAAGAGTAGGTTTTGTTTTCTCAATACTCAATGAATCAGCAATTGCTCTGTCAAAGGGCTGCTGGTTGTCACTGTAAGATGTGCCACTGACAGAAACAGGATAACGCAAGATAAATACAAAGTGTATACATGTAGTAATATCCAAAGACAGACACTTGATATACTTGTTATATATATATATTGACTGTTAATATTTATCAAATATTTGTTTTTCATTTGTTGTAAATAATTATCTGTCTTAATCTCACTTACGCTTTTCTACTTTCTTCAAAAGTACTCTTCCTTGATTGTGCAAACATATCAAATTCGTCATCCTGAGTGACTGATGCAGCCATATCAGGTTCTTGAGTTGTTTTCTTGATTTCTGTTTGGACAGAGAAAGCAAAGAATTGTGAAGACAATATTCTTGTTTGTTTAAAAAAGCAACTGGACCACTGATAMAATACCTAATCCTTGAAACTGTGATGGCAATGAGCTTATGCCTCCTTCAGCCTGTGGGGRAGCAGTCTGTGTTGAAGGAAGTTCATCAAAACTAATCAAAGAATCTTGAGAAGCTCTAGATTGAAAACAATGACAATCATTTTCAAATGTTATACATAAAACATTCTAGACACCTTGAGACAAAAATGTTGTGGTTACAAGAGAGTTAATTTACATCTAGTCCAATCCTTGGTGCTTGTAAGTGTTATGGCAGTACTTACGGTGGTGGAGCTGCTGCTGCTACTGTTCCACCTGAAGCCTGGGCACGTAACAAAAAATTAGAACCCACTGAATGAAAAGAATTTTTAGTCTAATCCAAAGCTACATTAAAATGTGTTACATGCTATCTATTGTTTTGGCTGGACAATGTCTACCAGTTATGCTGCAAAATATTCTCTACCTGTGGGGGAGTAGGCATAGGAGGCAGAACAGGAGCTGCAGTAACAGCAGGACGTGGTGGTTCAGCAGGTTTTGACTGTGCTTGTCTAAATCTCTCATATCGATCATATCTTATGAACACATTGTTGAGGTCATCATTAATTCGTAGAAGTTCACCTAAAAGATCGTCAAATATGGTCCAATCAATGAATCAATCAAATGTCTACATGTATAAATTTATTTTGTGTCTTACCAACAACTTCCTCATTTGCTACTTGCTCAAGTAAGACAAGCAGTCTTTGCTGCATTGCTCTACAAGTTCGATTCAATTCCTGATCAAAAAATACTTGTTAGTCTTTCTAAAAGGTTTAATAATCTCTTTAAGTAAATAAATTGTATTATAATACTTTAAAACAGTCCATTATGAGTGCAATCAATTATACTGTACATCATGACACAGCAAAGCAGTTTGTACCTGTAAAAGTTCCAAGTCACCAGCTTCCTCTTGGCCTGGTGTCATTTCAGTCAGCATTTCTGACATGACCTGTACATTACCCTGGACAATGTCTAACTCTGACCGTAATTTGGCAAGCTGTTCTGGTGTTGGATTTACTGGTCCTGTCATTGTAACTGGCTGCTGTATTGGCAATGGTGGTGCAACCTCTGTTCTACCATGTGATGCAGTGTTCTAACGATAAATGTAACGTTTATATTTGTCCTTTGCACAAGTAATATATCAATGTTTTTTTGTTTTATAAAAAGGACTGATTCTATGGATACTGCCCTTATATTTTATTCTACAATTTTGATAATATTCCCACATACAAATAAAAAATAAAAATATAAAGGATCAGATCAAAATGGCTTAGACATCTCTGACAGCATCACATCTGACAGTTTTATACTCACATGAGAAGGAGAAGTTGAAGGCCGTGTTGTTGATGATCGAGTTATGGGAGGCTCAGGTTGTGACTACAAAAATAATAAAAGAACAATTCAATATGAAAATGTGACTCATCAATTTTTTTTCAGGCAGCTACATTAATAATATATTTTGCAACAAAGAAATACACACCCAAAGGAATATATCAGTTGAGGATATACAACACCCAAAAAGGAAAAAAATAACAATCCACAATTTATTATTTTGGTTTATTATACAAAGTCAAAACAGACACTGCTGACAATCACACCTGTCTCAAAAACCTTAAAATGTACATAATTAGAAACTCTGCTAGGATCCATGTGTAGATTAGCAACATGAATCATTAATAATGTATTGAATAGAACAGTTTTACAAACATGAACAAATAAAATGACCACAAAATGAGGAATTTTGATTTKTGAACMAAATTGSTTTAACTACATTCTAAACKGACTGTAGCAATGATAATATTTCTTGTTGTGGTAACACTTTCAGACAGCAATAATAATTATTTTCCAGATATTTACATTGAATTTGATTTAAAAATCTTTTTAATGTGACAATTTTTGTAACTTTAAATGTAGCAAATTGGCATTTCTATTATTTAACAATAAAAAACAAGTGGAAAATAACTTACTCTCTCGGGGGTGAAGATAGGAGATAATGTATCAAGATTCTTGGGAGGAAACTCAATACCTGTATCATAAAAATTGGTGTTAAAAAAATACAAAACTGCATATATTTTAACAGTGTTAGTCAAATTAAAACTAGTTTATCTTTGACAGAATATTGCAATCATTTTGTCATGAGTTAAACTAAGGAAAAGCAGCATACTTCATACCAAAAATTCGATTTTTGAATTGGAAGAATCAATAATTCATTTACATTGAAAGGTCATTCTTCAGACTTTGACTTGTTTTGCTTTATTATAAACCATCAGATGACTGGTTTTTGTGTTAAGGCCRAATTAGACTGTCAGCACAACTTTTGTCTAAACCATYGTATGAAGCCTGCATAAGTCATCCTTGCAACACGGATACAACTCTGGTAGGGCTAAAAAGCAACTGTTTGAAATAAATTCTTTCAACAGTTGTAGGGACGACTGACCTATGCTGGTTACATGCAACAAATTGTAGACAAAAGTTGCGACTTCTAATTCAGCCCTATTTGTCTAACACTTTATTAATAGTACATGTAAAATATTCATTGCTCTTGAACTAATTTATTTATTGTCTTATCAAACATTGTATCCACCAAGTTTTCACTTATTCATGTCTTTCGTTTATTCATTCATTGACTAAAGTCTTTTCAACCAATGTTTTTCTTGTTCTGACACTTTTCTATTCATCACTTGATCACCCACTTTTTAATYTATTTACTCTTCCGTTATTTTATCTATAGATTTATCTAAAGTTAATCAAAGYAATACATGATTACTGAGTACTCAGCTGTCACCTTGGCTTCGTAATGCTTCATATGTTTGTAGTATTTGATTCATGTCTGGACTGTTTCTAAATGCATCRGCCCAATCTTGAATTAGCGACAGTATTTTATCCTGTACAACTTGAGGAGCATTTACCTAACAAAGTTTAAAAACGACTTTGATTATTTTTACAAAATACAGGGCARAAGAAAGGAAAAATTTGGTCAGTGTAATAAATTGTGGTTTAGCCTTTGATTCAGCAACCTACAATGGTATTATAATCTTGAAAGAAMCATGTTTTTTGAAGTTTAAAGTCCACTTGCCCCTTACCCAACAAATCATGTTCTTGGCACTATATATTTTGATTAAGCTTGACTCGGCAAAAAAAAAAACAAAAAAAAAATGCAATGCAATATTCATTACCTTGGGGTTAAGTATTTTGACTATTTCATCAAGGAAATCTTTCTTAGCAATCAAGACATGGAAACGATGCCCACAGTTTTTCACACATGATTCAAGTACCTGAAAAAAATAACTGGATGAGGAAAGGCACAATGTACAAAATTATAAGATTTAAAACTCAATGAAAATAAAAAAAGGTTTTATGATTGAAATGTCTTAGCCTACACATAACACTTTTAGGTTGCATATATTATTGTAACTCAGTCCTATACTCATTTTCATGCCATCTCTTACATGGAAAATCTTAAAAAATAAGATTTCACTTTTGAAAGTACAGGGCATATTATTCAAATGAGAATTTTCAAATTCCTTCACAAATTATAAGGTGTTCAGAAAATATTTCTGAGACAAATAGTATTTGAAATAACGATAATAACATAAAATAACACATTCAACTATAAATAACTATTAGACTATATTATAGCCATCACGTGCTTAACAAAAAATATTATTGAAACAAATAAAAGTGTCAAGACTAACCGTCAACGTTAGAAGAACACTTTTGAAGTTTTTATTATTTGTGAGGCGTTTTCTGATAGCTTTAGCAGCATCTTTCGGCCTGGAAGGTAGAAAAATAAATAATACATGATAGACATCACTCTCGATCATGGAACCAGCTACGTACAAGCCTGAGATCAATGACATTTTTATCGTCACAAATTCCGAAACTTAAGATGTAGATATAAGCTTAGTTGTACTTTCTTACCCTTCGTCTGTTTCATTTATTATATCACATATTTCTAGATTCAATGCCCAGTCTTCTGAAGCAAGGGCACCGTCAGTCGCTTTTTCTGTGGAGAAAATATTTAAGAAAACATCGATTTTTAGCTACGTGAAATTCATGGAAGACTTGAAACAAGGAATCTCAGTGCTGACAGAGAAAGAGGAATCTTTTTAAACTCAGTGCAAAAGAAACTACTAGCTAAACCTCTATAATCAGACAACACAATGAAAACAATAATTCTATACTAACACATTCCAGAAACATTCAAACTAACCTATTCTTTGCCCAACTGAAGTTGTAAAAGGATTTGCTGCAAACAGCGACGCCATCTTGGTTTTAGACAGAATGACGTCATGGGATAAAAATAAATATTTGTACTCAATCTTCCAACTGTCAGCCTCGAGTCAGGGCTAGTTTCAGTCCCCTTCGAGTGGTGAATGACAAGATGGCTGCCAATGAAAGGTGAATTCARATAATTTTCTTTGAATTTTTGCTGGTTTTATTCATAGGTTTGAACTAATGACGTTCTTGTTAGGAAGATAAAACTATTGATATCACTATCAATTATTTCTAGTTTATTATTTGTAGTAAACTACAAAGATTAAGAAGTCTAAATGCAGTCCGTTAACACAACGTGAAGTTCTTTAGTACATAAAGAAATACTAGTAACTGAAGATATCGTGTTTTTAAGTCGTTTTTGCCGATCACCTTGATTAAAGTTATTGTTAAAGACAAGTAATCTTTCATATATTGAGAAATTTTGAGAAAGGAAAGCAGTTCACACGTGAAACAGCAAAACATAACCACCTTACGTAACTTTTGTTACCATATGTAATTTTTGTAATTCTGTAAGACTTTATTGCACAGCTTGCTTGTGGCGTTGACTTCTAGGAATCGCCAGACTCTTGATAATTACACAATAAGGAACAAAGGAATTAATATTATTTAGCACCTATTTTGTTCCATTGATATTTGAGTAGACTCTGTTGTAAGAAGTCTGTCAACTTCCATATAATTATGAATATCTATATGCATGGCTCTGGTGTACATATGTACCTGGTTATGCATAAATATCACAAAAATTCAGTTTCACTCAAGTGAACTGATCTCATAGCTTAGACCTGGTTCATACTTCGAGCTAGCCTCGCGCCAAACCAAATAGTTTGAATTAAGCACATAAATAAACAAGTAGCTCGATGTATGAATCAATTAAGTTTCTACGTTTGTGTAGGTCCTTAAACAAAATACTCATATCACATTGTCTTATATACCAGATCACCAAGTGAAGATGATCGTAATTGTCACATCGCCATTATCCATGAAATATATGACTCAGAAGATGCACATGAAGAGTTTGAGGCAAAGTTGGAAGCAGCWCTTGAATCRGGRTGTGAGATCATTGTTATAGAACCTACCAAAATTGGTGATGAAACAGCAAGATGGATCAGTGTTGGGAATTGYCTTCACAAGACATGTGTTATAACGGGAAGTATTGCCCTYGTAAGCCCTTTTGTAATGCCGAAAGCTATACGTTGTCCATGTATCTTTGGTTTWAGTGCTATAAGCATATTTAGTGCTTTGTTATATGGCGTTTCTTGGCAGTTTGATCCATGTTGTAAATATCAAATTGAATATGACACAAAAAAACTGGCACATATACCAGCAGGGACGTCAGCCTCACCTGTCGTACTTGTGAGGACTGATGACAAGTACAGAAAGATCCTTCAAAATGTAATTGCTTGTTCTACTGCTCTCTACTGTGGATGGAAAATTTACTTATGGTACAATGGGTAACTTGGTTACAATATTTATAATGCTTAAAAAGAAAGAGTTTAGTGATTGCAAATGACAGTCTTCTTAATTAGACACATGTTGGTGGTTGCGTGATGACTGTTCGCATCACTAAACATTACAAGATGTTCCATTAGTACAGAAAGCATACTTTGTCAGATCCTTAGTGTTATGTTTGAACTGATACGGGAATCAGTGCTGGTGTAAGGGAAACATGTGAATAATGAGATGTGTTTTCAGTGTCAAAGTGATTGTTTAATAAATAGTTTCAAACAAATAATTATTTCCAAATCCCTCTTTATTAATCTAATTACTTCTTGTTTTTTTGAGTGCACATCCATAACATTAGTAATGATTTTTGTGTGTGTCTAACATGTCGATTAGACATTTTTAAGAGTACATAACAGAYGGTGGAGAAATTTAGWTTGGCACTACARCATGCACAAATATCACATTAAATYAAGTTTTCTTCACGCGCAAAAACTAGTTACATGGCAAATGCCCACAGATCATTCATGCTGTAAACAGTAACCCAAATTTCTCCAGGGTATTGTAATTCTGCCTGTATTATATTTTAGTCACCATACTGATTCTCTAGAATGAATTATGTATTCCATGTTAAAAATGGTGAATCAAAATTCTCATTTCGTTTATAGTTCTTTCTGTCTGATCTATATAATTTAGTGGATAGTTTTCTGTTGTGTTTCTTGGAAATAGCACTTGAAATATCAACTTTTCTCAGCTTCATTAAGTGTGTTATCATCCTAGTTGGTCCAGTGGCAGGTTTTTGTGTTACATAGTCCACTGCATAAATGAGATCAAGTCTGTGATCCCGGTCGATATCTGTTACTAATGGTCTTGTCGTGATAGTAGGAATAAGCTGTACACATGAGTATGCTACTGGTGGCTGCTCTCCAAACTTGTTGACAAACTCCTCTGGTGCTACAAGTATTCAAAGAAATATATATGAATTTTTTTCCTCTAATTTCATGAGATTCCTGTAGTGAAATGCACAGGCATCCCATACATACCTATATTTATAACCTTTTCTCTTGCTATCTCAATAAGCTGCAGTTGATTCTTGGGATCCCTGTAGACCAACACTGCACTAATGTCTTTGTTGACTGTTTCCAGTAAATCACAATTTAATGGTTTGTCTTGTTGGGGTTTAGATGACTTGTCCATTTTCTCACTTGAAGGAGTCGATGCCAGTTTAGTGTGCATTATTTGTTGTGATGTGAGAGGAGGAAGCATTGTTGTTGTCCATGGAATTGTTCTTGTTGTTTTTATTTTTCTCAAATCAGTTTGTCTTTTCAGCCTATTTTCCAGGTTAATTAAGTAATTTCTGAGTTCTACTTCATCTGTTTTTTGGTCATCTATCACATGATCATCATGATCATCATCACTATCATTCATATCATCACTATCATTTATACCATCACTATCATTCATATCATCACTATCATTCATATCATCACTATCATTGATACCATCACTATTGTTATGATTCCAATCATCTTCATGTATGCCATTACTATCATTCATATCATCTTCGTCATGATGATGTTTACGATCACTTTGATCATTATCATCATCAATATTGATTCCAGCATTCTCGTCACTGCTGATACTACCATTGTCCTTGCTGTGAGCACTTGACTCCCTYYCATTATGGTCATCATAATCACTGATGTTTGACGTCTCATCCTCCTCTTGTTCACCTTTCAATTCAGCCAATAAGTCATTAAGAAGCATATCGTTCTCATCTTCACTCAAGAATTCTATAGCTCTTTTTCTCCTTGAAGCATTTTGCCTCCATTTGTAGTTTGTATCATAACTTTCTACTTTCATGCTATCCCTCTTTTTAATGTATTTTCTCATATTGACTTTAGGTAACCATACAATCAGACCACGTGGTGTGCGTGATCTGTGGGGTATCCCTACAGGAGGGACGGTCAAAGGGCTATTTAGGGTGAACATCCACAGAGCAAGWCCGTTCTTTCCATCGAGAACAACGATTCTTGTTGATTTGTTGTCCAGTTGAATCATGATTGCGATGTCTGTTACTTTATCACCGAAAGAAATTATCGTTGGTAGGGCCCTGTAAAGAGATGATTCAGTGAATTCTCAGGTTGCCTAATACGCATGCYCTTAGTATGATCTCCGAAATTATCCCACATGGTTTAGCGCAGTTAACTATATTTCTATTTGTATCTTTATCGAAACTACAAAGTATGAATGAGGTTTAATTTTATATCTTACCTGCGAATTCCAGTAGATGTGAGTTTTCTGGACCATAAGTGACTTGTATCTTTGCCATTAATCGCTTTAACGGTTAAACCAGCCTCCAGGGAACAAAGTACAATGTCTTTGATACCATCGTTGTTCAAATCAGCAAATAATGGCGGCGTTAGTACAAGAGTATCTTTATATAACTCTATAAAACCGTATTTGTTGGGTGCATTGGGTCCCCATCTCCAGCCTTTYGTCGTTCTATTGTGTACTCGAGTCACAAGGTCCTCRATCCCAATWACAAGTAAAGTTCCTGTTTCCTGTGAATCTAGTTTCACGCCAACAAGAAGAACTTGCTTCGARTCAGTTACCTGATGCAAGCGAAGRAATACGTCATAATGGAGRTCTGATGTTTTACCCTTTATTACAGTTAAACTTCTACCAATGGGCTTTCCAGTTCTACCGGACAAAATACACAACTGAGCAGTAATACCAGTACGCGGTACGTAGAGAAGGACCACATCCCCAACGCCGTCATCATCTGTATCTCGAATCGCCCTGAAAGCTTTAATTGTTCCTGTCTTTTTCACTGTCCAGTGTTGACTGCCATTGTTAGAATCAATACGAAGAATTTTATTCTTATCCTCGAGTGCTATACAACTTGGCTGATCCTTTTTCACGCTAAGGTCACATAAAATGTTTCCAAACTGACCCAATACCCCTGATGCCCAAAGTTGTTGTCCATCGCCTCCGTCGATAGCCACTACTCCTCCATGGCATCCAGGGCAAGTATGGTTGAGAATGTGAAATCCGCGGCCACTRTGAGAAAACCCAACCARTATACGTTTAGAACTAGATGCGCCAGTGACATCGCGTAACACCAAGGGAGCTACACCRCTGAAGTTTTTCGACCAATTCGGCCATTTTGTTTCTTTCAAACATGTCTTATGATGGCAAGGAAGAATGAAAGCGAATGCGAAAACTGTAAACACACAAAGTAACAACGATGCAACAAGACAAATCCTCCTTTTGTTTGACATGGCTGGTTTCTCACTGTAGTCTTGTAGTTCTTTAAATGGTTGTTCGTTCTTTTCTTCGTTGTCTGAAGTGCTTGCTTCTGTATCGGCATCGCGGCTATCGGGTGATGATGGTCTCTTGTCGTTTGTTTTTTCGCTGCAAGAAGGTAGTGACTGATAGCTTGACCGATGTTCGTCGTTTCTTGCTTTCATTTTCGCTTTAAATCTGAAGATGTCAAAAACATACATACATTTCGTTTTGCTTTTTCAATTGCTTATCTTTTTAGCCTGAACAAAGTGTTCAACGCAGCCCCTTTGCCACATTGTTTGTTGCCAATGATGGCCGAAATGTTCAATTAAATTCTATACTGAAAAAAGAGCGTCCTTTTCTGTTTGATTAAATATAAAAAAACTCATTTTTTTCTCAAAAAAAAACCCAGAAACAACAAAAACAAAACAATAGGGATCCAAAAATTAAAATTAAATACTCTAACCCAACTAAACGCATTCTTACCTCAAGGTACTATATCAGCCTCACTTCTCCATATCAATTTTGGGACGAAGAAAAGCTTGAAACTTGCCAAAGCACTACAATTTGTGTGGTCGTAGGCGTTTTAAACCAGGCAAGATTTAAATGTTTCTCCAGGCGTTCTCTGAATTTCCCATTAAATCATTTCTAACCCCTCGTCGCAACAGATGTCCGTGTTCCGAACAATYAGTATTTGAACTCGCTTAGTAAAAGGTAACAAAAGGAACAATATAGCTATTAAAACTACGAGTTAACGAGAAGACGAGTTACCTGATGGCMTTTAGCCGGKTTTTTTTCCTTCGTCAAAACCGCTGTCCAGAATCAAGAAAAGCTTTAGGGTTAGTTGTTGATAAATCAACCGCGCGCGATGGTACAGGGATTGGTCAAAAACAGAGATGGCTTATAAAAACCAATTTATTAGTGACAAAAWTTGTCAGCATTTTGGGATAAGATTGGTAAAATCCTCTTTCCAGGATTTAATTGTTGGTTAACGTGTTTATGAACTATTAAAATGAAAACGCATTAGTCTTTCGTATATTATTCATGATTTTCAATATCATTATCGCTTTGTATGAATGTTTTATGGCTATCAGTCATTTTATTATTCAGCATAACAAATCCTCCATGCCCGCACAGCCAAATATCAGTCTACTTCAAAATATATGTTCCATTCGCTTTCATAACTCGGTTTTCTGGTCGACTATTATTTTATTCTCGGATGTTTTAAAATATCTTTTTCGCTATATTTTAAGCACTAAAAATCTCTGCTGTAAAAACATAAAATTGGCACTTATAAAAACGCCTGAACAATCCAATTTCAAATCAGTGTAATATATGGCCGATGTGACTAAGACCTTGGAAACAAACTTACTTTTAAATTTAGATACCATAATGGAAATTATAGCCACTAAAAACTGCAGCAGAAGAGAAAAGCGCTCGGGTATGACCGTGCGAAGCAAGGAGAATGAACAAAAGGTAATGCAAAGTCTACACTGAAAGAGACTAGACGATCATGACAACTTCAATGTAAAACTTTAATAACAGAAATATAAAACTTTATCGATGAAGAGCTACAAAGTAAAAAAAAAACAAATTCAGAGGTTACACGATTCTACCAGTAAAGCCAATCAAAACGAAAACCTCCGTTTTTGTAAGAAATAAAAAAAAAAACTGATCATAAATCTTATTTTAAGGCCCGCGTGTATCCGAGAACGTTTGCGAGATTTTCTCTCTGGAAAATCGCCAATATGATCTTGGAGAAATCATGGGCTGGGTTAATCCGTTTCCATTTTGTGCTGGTTTTTATGAAGATTATCATCGCGCGTGTTTTGGGGTTTTACTTTACACCAAYTGGAAAGTAACSTTTAAACTAATACAAACGATCGCAATGGTTCATGGGTACAAGTGGACCTTCGCTTCAATTCCATGTCGACGCGAACGACCATTCCTTGTGCTTTCTGATGTTTTTAAAGTTGCGTGATGATATAGAAATAAAAGGAAAGAGTTATCCACATAATAAGATGATAATAATCCATAATACYACCTCTGCAYAAGTGAGAAGGCCGCGTYACACGAGAAGGAAGTTCAGCATTCTGAAGATTGTGATTTCCAACAGTTTCACATTACAGTAAACCCCGATCGCATACAATACCTCTTTTGACATTATTCAGTATTATCGGTTTGGCTTCTTTTCCTGTTTAGGAATCAAACTGCGTCACGAATTGAACAGCATGACGACAAGAAATCCCTTTGTAAGCCTCTCTGAGGTATCACGTCTTGGAACCATAAACGCACGAAACACGAGCYGATAGTTACTTATTCAAACTCATTCAAACGCCATGATAACGATAAGACTTTACACGTTTATTTTCCTAACGTTTGCACAATTTTCAATATAAAAAGGGCAAAAAACACGTAAGATGCAAAATACTAGGTTAAAAACACGTCGTCGGGAGATGTGCGCAAAAAAAAGACTCTGAAACTACTATAGTTAGGTTATATAGGTTATAACCTCGATACTAACCGCTCTAAAAATTGAGATTTTTCAAATCGCACTAAAGTAAAAATAAAACAAAAAAACTAACTAAAGTCGAAMAAACGCAGRACCCGCGAGGATCATAGTACATGAATAGAATTCCTCCTCTCCTCTTAGTAACATGTATGGCCGACTTGCTCATCTAGCACAGAGTTCATACAGGTGATTGATGAGATATAGACCAATATTTTGACAGTCAATACTATGTGCCTTGGGGTGTGTGATAAGGAATTAAAGTTTGTTGTATAAACTGTGACTGGATTAGTGAGCGAAACGACAAAAAAACCTGTCGACCTCCTAGTTAGTTGTGCCATTGCCTGTAAAGCTGGGAAATACTGAATGATCCAGTATTTCTATGAATTTTAAGATACTCTTTTGACGCGCATTGTGGGAGGACATTGGCTTGTTTTGCTACTTTGTTATTTGGAAAAGAAATGGTCATATGAATTCGGTATTGAAAGGTTGAACTTTCTTTAATTCAGTCATGGTAAAGTCACTCGCGTGCTGTTCATTGTATTAACCTCTGTATTAGTTGTGAAACTATAGCTAATACACTCATTCTTTCGGCACAATCAATTCACAATCAATTCACGTCAAGTAGTCTGTGGTCTTGTATTGTTGATGTTTTGAGTATGACAAGCCCCTTATGTCCGTGAGTGGTGTGTTATATAACAGGTTAACAGGCTATGCGACGTCGCCACAAACCTCCCTTCAAATAATGAATTACTGTTAAACTTYTCTCATTTTCCAACAATCAATGTACTCTTTTCTTAATACGTTAAAAACGTCTCAGAGGGGTGCAGCGAAAAGAGAAGTACATTTATGAAATTTCAATTTGTTGCTCGGTTTTTGTACACGACAAGAATACACGGTAGTTGCCATGGACAAAGTCCTATAGTTTTTTTAGTTTTCATTCAAATACTACAAAAATTTCAGAAGTAAAATCATTAATCCTGACTCGAGTCCATAAATCCTTCTTATGACGATCATAAAAATATTAGACTTGATTTATTGAGGTCAAAATGAAATAGTTCATGCTCTTTCGCACTATTTTGCTCTGGTTCTAGTGAAATTCTTATGCAATTTTTTCTCAGATTCTGTGGCGAGACTCGCCGCCATTATATCCGGCTAACCAAACTTAGAAACTCTGAGGAGGGTTTGGAACTGTACTCCTTTTAAAACCTTGAGTCCTTATACTAACAAATGCACCGAATTTGTTATGATCAGTTGCTTCAGTTTACCATGTACTGTTTAGTCAACTGTTACAACCTCAGAGTTTAATATTCTAAAAAGATAGCAAACATGACATACTAATAAGAAGAGAGAGTAGATACAAACGATTTTTCAAACGCTGCGTTCTTGCAGTTAGTGTATGTGCTGTCAAGGTTATCATACGATTTACAACATACATGTACAAAGAAAAATACCGAAAAGAAATAGAAAAGTCCTGTATAAACGTAGATCGAAAACTCCGTTTGACTCAAAAGTGAATTGGCTTGATTTCATACATTATATACATTGTTCCTACTGCTTCACTGTGCATATATTTGACCATAATTTTGTGAAATAATTATCATGTACACCTTGGGGATACTTTAAGTTGTATTGGATTCAAACGTAACTTGGACCTTTCTGTAAATATCAAATAAGCCCGATTCCTTAAGGCTGATTTACACGGTACGATTTGTCGCGCGCGACTTGTAGTATACGACTTTCCTNGCGAATACATCTCCTACTAAATTGATACATCGCGCTCTACTTACAGACCTGATGCAAACAAGAAAGTTCAATTAATTGACAAAAAATATTCTATAAAGGAAATTAAAACATAAGCTTTGTTGACAATARGGCTGGATAGGCATAGACACGCCCGCTTATGACCAATGGATAATAATAACCATTTGACTGTTGAAAAGTAAGAAAAGTATAAAATACTAGTTAATATCAAGAAAATGGCGGAAAGAAGAGGATCGTGCCACGTAATTAACAAGAAGGTCAAGAAAAACCAGCATGTTTAACCGTAACAGCAAGAGGACAACAAAACCACGTAAAGTTTATTGACATATTCTATGAATTGCCCGGGACTATTATAGTACACTGTATCTAAACCAATTCTATACATGACAAAAACAAAGGAATGCTTAGCCACAGGAAAACTTTACACAAATAGTTATCAAAATGTTGCATGTTTTTGATTTCAAATCCAGGGACAAACAGTGGTTTAATCTGTTTATTGAAAACACAAGCCAAGCTCGTCACGGGACCACTCGGATTTCGAACCACGTTAGGATCGGAAACGACAAAGTTTCTTGGTGTTTTTAATTGGGGTTTTGCTTACAGAAACTTAAGTTCATTTAAAAACATTTGGAGACACTTTGGCTCCATAGACCGGATGCTTAACAGTTTTTGGGACTTTTTTTTAGATCAATAACCCTTTAAGGAAATAGTTGGGCGATACCAAGAAATTAATGTAGCAGCGAATAATTTCAGGGATATTAAACTCGTGATGTAGATGGAGTGTTTACTCTAGTTATTTGTCAATATTGACGCTAGATATGTAATAACACAAGCAAATCTTCCTCAATAACTTATACACATTTGTATTTGTTGAAAAAGCAAACTGGGATCGAAAATAAACCTGGCCAACTTTCATTGGGATTTGAAAGTGTTTTTGAAGGGATTAATTTTCATTTCTGCTTGTGCAAGACGATCGGCAAAGTTTTGTATTTCCTGTTACAGAAAGATAACTGATCATTTCCCTAATTTTACCTATTATGGCATTCAGCTTTAAACTGGGAACTTTTATCCTTCAAAAATAGTGAAACAATTGCACCACTATGATGAATAGTTGACTAGTYAACTTTTTATTTCACACAAGAGTGTACCAAAGACAAAATTACAACATCTAGATTGTTATCTTCATACCTTACAATAAATAGCTGTGTGCAGATTGTTATCTTACCCAACAATGGCCACCTTATTGCTCTAGTAACTATTTTTAACTTTGTACAAAACCACCAAATCAATGTACAAAGTCCGTTTGATCCGTATGGTGAACATTTATATTTACAAGATCCAGTTAATTCAGAAACTGCTTCGTGAGTCTGTAGTAAGACAAACCCAAGACAGACATATGATGTGATAGTCTCTTTATAAGTCTRTGCTAGTATTTGCCAATAACTGATCAATACTGAATGGGTGCTTGACTGCTTGTGCATTGTGCAAGGTTGTTTTCTGTGTYGTCTTCTCGACAGACACTGACTTTGGTGTCTTGTCAATCACATTTWCATCACATTTTTCAAGTTTTTTTGTTCTATCTGAATGATCTTCCTTTGTGTAACAGTCTGTCTTTTCATTGCTGAGCTGTGTCTGGTCCGAGTACGTTCTTTGTCTTCTTTTTCGTCGTCTAAAGTTCCCATCTTCGAACATTTCCTCGTAGGCAGGATCTAGCGTCCAGTAACAACCTTTCCCAGGATCAGACCTTTCTCTCGGTACTTTAACAAAGCATTTGTTTAACGAGAGATTGTGTCGAATGCTATTTTGCCATCCCCTCTTGTTGAGCCTGTAATAGGGGAAGTTTTCCATGATGAATTGGTATATACCACTCAAAGTTATTTTCGTGTCTTTCGATTGTTTGATAGCCATGGAAATGAGGGCTACGTATGAGTACGGCGGTTTGGGCAAAGGCTCATAATCACGGTACAAATATCCATGYACAGGCGAAGGAAAGTAGCTTCTTGTGTCAAAACCATGATATCCCACGAAAGAACAGCCATAATTTGTACAAGAATGAACAGTTGGCGGGCCATAAAGATAGGCAGGCTGAGGAACGTGATAATATTTAGGACTGGCAAACATCTTTGGCAACGAATTAACGTTTCAACAGACTGATGAAGGTTTGGATGACCCAGCGTTTAACATGATGCCAGTCTTTATATGAGCCCACCTACTAAGTCTGTTTATGCTGCCGATAACTTTTGTTACACAATATTTGTTTACAAATAGGCAATAAACCGTACGGGACCACACACGGACGCGTGGACTAGGGGGTAGTTTATCTAGGTTAACCGGAGATCTCTCATATAATACAGCCAAGATACTATCTGAGTAACCCTACTCGGCGCCTTTACGACTATACGAATCAAATGATTGCATCAAACCCTTTCCTTTCGTCAATATTTAGATTACAAAGTTGGAGCATGTTTGATAAAGTTGAAAATCGATAACAGTTTAGTGATGCTGAAGATTATGACGTGACACACCCTTCATTCAGTAAGTATAKAAAATCGGAGATTGACAGGAGGATTGACGCGTTCCCAGCATGCTCTAGGAAGCGGCTTGACGGCAAGCTTGAAGCAAGAGGATTAAGGAATTAGCTGGAACGAAGATTAACTAACCAAACAAGAAACCAACCTTGAAGAAACACAGTCAATGGGTCCGTTAGCTTAGGTTATTAGTCTTAGAATGACCAAGGTGACAATCACGCAAGGACAAACTCCCAACTGTGCTCTCTAACCACCGATTATACCAACTCAAATCATTAAAGTCATTGAAAATATACTCTAGACAAAAAGAAGACGTTTAAAGTGTCTTGAATTGTGTTTGAAAAGGATTCCAAAAACAAGTTAAGTGGCTATTTGCAGGGCAATAAAGTCAGACTTATTTAGAAACCCGTAAAGTGCTGTTCGTTGAAATGTTACCAAAGTTAATTAGTTTAAGGAGTTTCTCTATCTTTACTGATAAACAAGCAATGACATGTCATCATATCTATTAACACGACGATTTATAAAAAAAAACTATTTATAAAATTGAAGAACAAAGAAAAACAACAGACTAGTATAAACGTAAGAAAACAGTAGAATAATATCAAGAAACATTCGTTTCAAAAGAAGCATTCGTTTCAAAAACGGTGAAAAGAACAAGTAAACTAGGTAAAACGTCTCGAAAAGCCAGTCAAGTGCTGTTCTGAAGCCAGTCAAGTGCTGATCTGAAGCCAGTCAAGTGCTGTTCTGAAGCCAGCAAAATGCTTGTTCCGATGCAAGCAAAATGTTAACAGGGAATTTGTTAAAGGAGCTTCCTTTCAAAGTATAAATGTCATTAATAAGATTAAAGCTAAATTCAAGGATTGAACTCAAAACCACGGAACAAATAAGAAGTAAAACTCACTGCTATACCTTGAGGTAATGATCTTCAGTACTGTAATCCGATAAAGATGATCAACTAAAGTTAACTAGTACTTATGGGCGTAGACTTCTATTCTTGTTGAATGATTGAAAATAACAAGAAATGCGTATTTTATTTGAATGTAATATTATATTAATACTAGTTTTTATATTAATACTAGTTTTTTTGAATCACAAGGATAACCGATACTGATACAAATATTTTGAACAGATATCATGAACCTTGAACAAGGAGTGCGTCATGCAGCTGTTTTTCACAACCCATTGCCATTATACTCCATTCCGATCTTTAGTTCATAATGGAGACATATTAAGGTCTATAAATCTAGATTTATGCAGTTTTTATTCTAGAATTGTACAGCATTCACTCAATCTGCACTATAATATTGATTACGAATCTTTTAAGTTGGAATATCGCAGTTGTTTTATTCGGAAATTATCCAGTTATTTTCAATCTTTACAATACGAAGRTTGAATTGCTTTCGTGTTACAAATCAGTGACTTTCTTCTGCAAATTATAGCAGCTATCAAAGTTAAAGTTGCATCAGAAAATCAGAAAAAGGGCTCAGAAAACCTAAGCAACGCGTTCCAAACGAAGGTTAATTAATTAGACTGTTTAACGGCGACTGCTGCATTCTTGTTCCCCAGCAGTGACTTCCATGGCCGCCGACTGCTTGGATACCAGTTTTCAAGATCACCTGCTAATTCTTTATTCATTTGTATCGAAACTTATTGAAAGGCCAACATAAAAGACGGGCAGCTGGATCTATAGTAATACGGTCCCTTCCAAGGGAATTAATAGCTTCTATTATGGTAACAATAACCTTGTAACCTACCGAGATAAAATGATAAAAAACCAGCGAACAATACATGAATGACTTGTTAAACGATGATTGAAAAACCAAAACAGTTTGTTCGTCATTGTACAATTTATAACGTAATTAGATTCTTTTCAACCGAGGCTAAATCCTCTTAGCAGTTACAATATCCTTGCAAAGTAAAGGAGGCGTCAACAGTTAGTACGCAGTTTGTGAGTGGAAACAATTTGATTTAACAAATTATAGATCTTCAAAATGTCTTAGTTATTTGTATAAAAGCCATTCGATTCGTCATATAATAAGAACTTAAAAAACCTTTCAAGTGTTCRAATAAACCTTTTAAGTGCCTGAATAAACCTTTCAAGTGCTCATATTACCCTTTCAAGTACTTCCATAAAACCATTCAAGTGTCCACGTATATCTTTTCAAGTGCTCATAAAACCATTCAAATGCTCATTAAACCTTTCAAGTGCTACAATACAACCCATCAAATGCTAAAAAAAACCATTCAGCTGCTCATATAAAGGCATATCAGGTGTTTAGAGAAAGCATTTAATGAATAGAAGCTATTTAGTGGTATTAAAATACCCAGTTTTGTTCAAGTATCACCCATTGATAGGTGCTATATACAATCACTTTCCAAGAATAAAATAGCAAAGTTTAATAAAAGTAAAACTCTTRAATTGTTCATTTTTTGTATAGTACATCATTCTCTGTAATCAGTCTGTACAGTCATGTTACAAGTGAAACATAAGTATATTTTTCCGTTATGGAAGCAAAAGTAAAACCAACAAAGATCGATGATGTTGATTTGATTCACAATACAAGAAAACATCCCATAATATTACACACACGTCCATCCCATGATGCAATGACAGTATCGAACGATCAATATGCAACATAACCTCGACGAGCGTCGAATCTTTTCCATGAACTACTTGGATGTAATAAATGCAAAGATCTGGTTCGTGGATACCTTGGAGAGAGAGAGAGCTGTATCCATGGTTACCGAGGGGAAGAGTGAGGAGACACCTTAAAGACGTAAGAAGTTTTTCTAAATTAACGAACTTTTACAGAAGTAACGGTTTGGACATGTTAAAACTGTGCTTATTGCTGAATAATTAACGAATTGAATAACTTTTACTAGCTGACTATCATAAATTGATTAACAGACTGACTGTATGACTGACAGACTGGCACTGACTGACGCTGACTGACCAACACTRMCTGACTGTATGACTGACAGACTGGCACTGACTGACKCTGACTGACCAACACTRMCTGACTGTATGACTGACAGACTGGCACTGACTGACGCTGACTGACCAACACTGACTGACTGACTGACACTGACTGACAGACTGATTGACAGGTTTTACTCACCTTTAGTTCAGTGATCTGGAATGGTACTTGTATATTGGTACCACCTCGATGCTCCACCAGAAGATATCCTCTTTTACGTGCAGCACCGACAACCTTGACTTGTTCTCCTTTACGTAACAAAACTTGTCCTTCGCCATCTGGAGAAAGTATCATCAAAAACCTTATTACAACAACAACAGCTATAACCACACCTATCACCAACGACAGCAAAATAAATGAASTAACAGCAAGAACAGAGAAGAAGCAACAMGATCAACAGCACAGAAACAACTTTATTGTAAACAGCATGAAAAACAGCGACATCAGTATAACAGACAACAGCACCAAGAGCACCACCAACACAAACAACAGCAGCACCGACAACAACAAAGAATATACAACAAGATCAACAAAAAAACAAAGCACCAGCATCACTAGAACACTGAACAACAGAAAATACCGCACCAGTTATCAATGAGGTAGTTACCAACCTTTAAGGTCTTGTTTCATGACTCGTGCTTGAGGAAAACCCATCTTCATGTTACCCATCACTGTATAGGGCCTGCTCTTGGGTAATGGGGGAGGTGTTTCCTAGAATCAAACCAGTAAGAATTTACAGAAAATAGGTAAAAMTCGCGCATAGGAAACAGTTATTGCAAGATGCAAGACTCATTTTTTGAGAGGTCAACGTACCATATCAAGGCCATACAAGCAGCACATTTGCTCTGCAGTCTTTGCGTCCACACTCACATCGTGACGTGACGACGTGACGTGTCTAGTAGTTCCATGCCTGAAAACAATAGGTGACGTAAAATCAGACACGTGATCATGATCTCATACCTAGACCCCTGCTCATTCAAGAAATCGAGAAGGGTCTTGGTACGAGAATGAGAGACGACAGACTGATGAATAATAATGAGGATACTATCGTTCTAATCAGTGACATGATAAATAATAATAATAMTAATGATGATTATTGTGAAAACATCATCCAGTTTGCGCAGAAATCGTCTATTTTTTCACATCAMATAGAAACACAACATACTTTTGGTTGGATCTTGTTTGCTGTCTTGCCTTTCTCTGCATTTCAAGCGATCGTTTTAAGTTTTTCCATTGTTTTCTACACAGCCATCCACGTACGGCCGATTGTAAGATGAYTACAGCTGATAGTTGTCCTTTTGAAACGCAACTGTCGAGTTCTTGCTGAACGATGTCACTGTTCGAAATAGAAATTAACCGCAAAATGAAGAATGGAACATATTGGGGGAAAGAAGGGAAGGAAGATCGAGGGGAAAGATGGGAAGGAAGWGGTTMAAAAAAGGAGGGATAAGAAGAAAGAAGGKGAYAAGRYGGTCAAGAAAGGAGAGAATAGAGAGAGGAATAGGAWAAGAAGCGGGAAGCAGAAAGCTGTAAAGACACCAAACACACCTAAAGAAGACGTATTTGTTTCCTACCACCCAGGAATGACGGGATGATTCTGGTAAGCTTTCAAGGATGGCTGCGCAGTCATCAGGTCCAGTCTCCTCAACACCACCAAGAGGACGATTCGATAGATGGCTGTATCTATTGAAAAACGCCTCGAACCGAGAATGGTGTGCCACTTCTAAAATAAACCACATAAACAAACACTTTATCAGCTTGTTCAGAGAGAATATGCTTTGGTAAATAATACAAATAACAGGTCAGTGATTAACGAGCAACAAGTTGAAATAAGTTGAAAGAAAAAGGAAGAAATGAAAAAGAMATGAAAGAAAAGAGAAAATAGAAAGAYGTGRAGATTGTWCTCATGCAATCTTTACCAGACTGTAAAAGCTGCACMGTTTCAAATACTTGTAGTGCTTTCAACTGTTTACTGACAGCATGGCGATCAAATACTTCTGGTTTTGCAACGTTATTAGCCTGAAACAAATACAATATAGGAAAATTGAATACCCCACTCTACTCTTAATTCAATACTGGTGTAGATTCTTTTATGCACTCTAAGGAAACATTCCCTCGCGGTATCCCAGTGGCTASGGACTTGTCCCTCCATATTTACACGCAATCAGAAATCTTTTGTTGAAGTACCAACAAAATGGCTGCCTTGACATCAATTGAAAACCAGCTTATTTCTGTGATGATTTCATATTTAGAAAATGTTTACCTTAATGCAGCGTATRAATGTTGGTTCAGCTTGTACCAGTGTCTTCAAAAGATGATCAAGTTTACTCTAAACAAATAGACATTTCTGTAAATGCAAAACTTCACACATTATATTCTCAAATACTAGCTTTAGTTACCTGGAAATCTTGAGAGAAAGTAGTCAATGTGTAATCATAACTGCCTGTCAAACTAAATAAACAAACAGTCAGCAACACAGTCAACTTAAACTACTKGAATACAAGAGCTGGAGCCCTTATTGAAATAAATTAATGTCTACAATGCATTTTTAAGCATCCGGGTCTGAAGTAATATTTGTCACTATATTTCACAATTGTTTTACTCAATAGTCTCCTTCACGGGTTCCCTGCGCCATCTTGAAAAATAGCTGTGTAGTGCCTTTGCATCGAATCGAGACGATCGTTGAGCGTGTAATGATAGAAACCTTCTTTCACACCTACAGACAATTATTCACAGGTTTCTATCATTGCAAGCTCAATGGTTGACTCACTTCGATGTAAAGGCACGGCTACCTTTCAAGATGGTGCAGGGAACCGTGAATGAGACTATTGAAACCTGTTGTGTTCTTGTGTTAGTGTTTGGGAAATCCTGTGGAGTACCCCTCTGGGGGCTGCAGTTTGTCCTTGTGAAGATTTAAGGTCACTCGTAAAAAGATGTGATGCAAAGCCAAAGTTACAATTCTAAAAAAAAAGCAAAGGAAGTGAAAAGGTCTACGTTAAGACAAAAATAGTTTTCCTCAACTGTGTGTTTTATATGTGTCAAAGGAGTGATAAAAGTATTTTGACATCTTCATCGATCAATCGCCTACAAATGGTACAGGGATGATATCTTAGGGGTTTATCTACCGATGGTACAGGGATGATATCTTAGGAGTGTTCCTATCAATGATATCTTAGGGCTGTACCTACTGATGGTACAGGGATGATATCTTAGGGTTGTACCTACCGATGGTACAGGGGTGATATCTTAGGGATGTACCTACCGATGGTACAGTGATGATATCTTAGGGATGTACCTATCGATGGTACAGGGATGATATCTTAGGGGTGTACCTACTGATGGTACGGGGATGATATCTTAGGGGTGTACCTACCAATGGTCCAGGGGTGATATCTTAGGGGTGTACCTACCGATGGTACAGTGATGATATCTTAGGGATGTACCTATTGATGGTACAGGGATGATATCTTAGGGGTGTACCTACTGATGGTACAGGGATGATATCTTAGGGGTGTACCTACAGATGGTACAGGGGTGATATCTTAGGGGTGTACCTACTGATGGTACAGGGGTAATATCTTAGGGTTGTACCTACCGATGGTAAAGTGATGATATCTTAGGGATGTACCTATCGATGGTACAGGGATGATATCTTAGGGTGTACCTACCAATAGGACAGGTATGATATCTTAGGGGTGTACCTACCGATGGTACAGGGGTGATATCTTAATGGTGTACCTACTGATGGTACAGGGGTGATATCTTAAGGATGTACCTACTGATGGTACAGGGGTAATATCTTAGGGGTGTACCTACCGATGGTACAGGGATGATATCTTAGGGGTGTACCTACAGATGGTACAGGGGTGATATCTTAGGGGTGTACCTACTGATGGTACAGGGGTNATTACCTTGGGGTTAAGTATTTTGACTATTTCATCAAGGAAATCTTTCTTAGCAATCAAGACATGGAAACGATGCCCACAGTTTTTCACACATGATTCAAGTACCTGAAAAAAATAACTGGATGAGGAAAGGCACAATGTACAAAATTATAAGATTTAAAACTCAATGAAAATAAAAAAAGGTTTTATGATTGAAATGTCTTAGCCTACACATAACACTTTTAGGTTGCATATATTATTGTAACTCAGTCCTATACTCATTTTCATGCCATCTCTTACATGGAAAATCTTAAAAAATAAGATTTCACTTTTGAAAGTACAGGGCATATTATTCAAATGAGAATTTTCAAATTCCTTCACAAATTATAAGGTGTTCAGAAAATATTTCTGAGACAAATAGTATTTGAAATAACGATAATAACATAAAATAACACATTCAACTATAAATAACTATTAGACTATATTATAGCCATCACGTGCTTAACAAAAAATATTATTGAAACAAATAAAAGTGTCAAGACTAACCGTCAACGTTAGAAGAACACTTTTGAAGTTTTTATTATTTGTGAGGCGTTTTCTGATAGCTTTAGCAGCATCTTTCGGCCTGGAAGGTAGAAAAATAAATAATACATGATAGACATCACTCTCGATCATGGAACCAGCTACGTACAAGCCTGAGATCAATGACATTTTTATCGTCACAAATTCCGAAACTTAAGATGTAGATATAAGCTTAGTTGTACTTTCTTACCCTTCGTCTGTTTCATTTATTATATCACATATTTCTAGATTCAATGCCCAGTCTTCTGAAGCAAGGGCACCGTCAGTCGCTTTTTCTGTGGAGAAAATATTTAAGAAAACATCGATTTTTAGCTACGTGAAATTCATGGAAGACTTGAAACAAGGAATCTCAGTGCTGACAGAGAAAGAGGAATCTTTTTAAACTCAGTGCAAAAGAAACTACTAGCTAAACCTCTATAATCAGACAACACAATGAAAACAATAATTCTATACTAACACATTCCAGAAACATTCAAACTAACCTATTCTTTGCCCAACTGAAGTTGTAAAAGGATTTGCTGCAAACAGCGACGCCATCTTGGTTTTAGACAGAATGACGTCATGGGATAAAAATAAATATTTGTACTCAATCTTCCAACTGTCAGCCTCGAGTCAGGGCTAGTTTCAGTCCCCTTCGAGTGGTGAATGACAAGATGGCTGCCAATGAAAGGTGAATTCARATAATTTTCTTTGAATTTTTGCTGGTTTTATTCATAGGTTTGAACTAATGACGTTCTTGTTAGGAAGATAAAACTATTGATATCACTATCAATTATTTCTAGTTTATTATTTGTAGTAAACTACAAAGATTAAGAAGTCTAAATGCAGTCCGTTAACACAACGTGAAGTTCTTTAGTACATAAAGAAATACTAGTAACTGAAGATATCGTGTTTTTAAGTCGTTTTTGCCGATCACCTTGATTAAAGTTATTGTTAAAGACAAGTAATCTTTCATATATTGAGAAATTTTGAGAAAGGAAAGCAGTTCACACGTGAAACAGCAAAACATAACCACCTTACGTAACTTTTGTTACCATATGTAATTTTTGTAATTCTGTAAGACTTTATTGCACAGCTTGCTTGTGGCGTTGACTTCTAGGAATCGCCAGACTCTTGATAATTACACAATAAGGAACAAAGGAATTAATATTATTTAGCACCTATTTTGTTCCATTGATATTTGAGTAGACTCTGTTGTAAGAAGTCTGTCAACTTCCATATATTTATGAATATCCATATGCATGGCTCTGGTGTACCTGGTTATGCATAAATATCACAAAAATTCAGTTTCACTCAAGTGAACTGATCTCATAGCTTAGACCTGGTTCATACTTCGAGCCAGCCTCGTACCAAACCAAATAGTTTGAATTAAACACACGAATAAGTAGCTCGATGTATGAATCAATTAAGTTTCTACATTTGTGTAGGTCCTTAAACAAAATACTCATATCACATTGTCTTATATACCAGATCACCAAGTGAAGATGATCCTAATTGTCACATCGCCATTATCCATGAAATATATGACTCAGAAGATGCACATGAAGAGTTTGAGGCAAAGTTGGAAGCAGCTCTTGAATCAGGGTGTGAGATCATTGTTATAGAACCTACCAAAATTGGTGATGAAACAGCAAGATGGATCAGTGTTGGGAATTGYCTTCACAAGACATGTGTTATAACGGGAAGTATTGCCCTYGTAAGCCCTTTTGTAATGCCGAAAGCTATACGTTGTCCATGTATCTTTGGTTTWAGTGCTATAAGCATATTTAGTGCTTTGTTATATGGCGTTTCTTGGCAGTTTGATCCATGTTGTAAATATCAAATTGAATATGACACAAAAAAACTGGCACATATACCAGCAGGGACGTCAGCCTCACCTGTCGTACTTGTGAGGACTGATGACAAGTACAGAAAGATCCTTCAAAATGTAATTGCTTGTTCTACTGCTCTCTACTGTGGATGGAAAATTTACTTATGGTACAATGGGTAACTTGGTTACAATATTTATAATGCTTAAAAAGAAAGAGTTTAGTGATTGCAAATGACAGTCTTCTTAATTAGACACATGTTGGTGGTTGCGTGATGACTGTTCGCATCACTAAACATTACAAGATGTTCCATTAGTACAGAAAGCATACTTTGTCAGATCCTTAGTGTTATGTTTGAACTGATACGGGAATCAGTGCTGGTGTAAGGGAAACATGTGAATAATGAGATGTGTTTTCAGTGTCAAAGTGATTGTTTAATAAATAGTTTCAAACAAATAATTATTTCCAAATCCCTCTTTATTAATCTAATTACTTCTTGTTTTTTTGAGTGCACATCCATAACATTAGTAATGATTTTTGTGTGTGTCTAACATGTCGATTAGACATTTTTAAGAGTACATAACAGAYGGTGGAGAAATTTAGWTTGGCACTACARCATGCACAAATATCACATTAAATYAAGTTTTCTTCACGCGCAAAAACTAGTTACATGGCAAATGCCCACAGATCATTCATGCTGTAAACAGTAACCCAAATTTCTCCAGGGTATTGTAATTCTGCCTGTATTATATTTTAGTCACCATACTGATTCTCTAGAATGAATTATGTATTCCATGTTAAAAATGGTGAATCAAAATTCTCATTTCGTTTATAGTTCTTTCTGTCTGATCTATATAATTTAGTGGATAGTTTTCTGTTGTGTTTCTTGGAAATAGCACTTGAAATATCAACTTTTCTCAGCTTCATTAAGTGTGTTATCATCCTAGTTGGTCCAGTGGCAGGTTTTTGTGTTACATAGTCCACTGCATAAATGAGATCAAGTCTGTGATCCCGGTCGATATCTGTTACTAATGGTCTTGTCGTGATAGTAGGAATAAGCTGTACACATGAGTATGCTACTGGTGGCTGCTCTCCAAACTTGTTGACAAACTCCTCTGGTGCTACAAGTATTCAAAGAAATATATATGAATTTTTTTCCTCTAATTTCATGAGATTCCTGTAGTGAAATGCACAGGCATCCCATACATACCTATATTTATAACCTTTTCTCTTGCTATCTCAATAAGCTGCAGTTGATTCTTGGGATCCCTGTAGACCAACACTGCACTAATGTCTTTGTTGACTGTTTCCAGTAAATCACAATTTAATGGTTTGTCTTGTTGGGGTTTAGATGACTTGTCCATTTTCTCACTTGAAGGAGTCGATGCCAGTTTAGTGTGCATTATTTGTTGTGATGTGAGAGGAGGAAGCATTGTTGTTGTCCATGGAATTGTTCTTGTTGTTTTTATTTTTCTCAAATCAGTTTGTCTTTTCAGCCTATTTTCCAGGTTAATTAAGTAATTTCTGAGTTCTACTTCATCTGTTTTTTGGTCATCTATCACATGATCATCATGATCATCATCACTATCATTCATATCATCACTATCATTTATACCATCACTATCATTCATATCATCACTATCATTCATATCATCACTATCATTGATACCATCACTATTGTTATGATTCCAATCATCTTCATGTATGCCATTACTATCATTCATATCATCTTCGTCATGATGATGTTTACGATCACTTTGATCATTATCATCATCAATATTGATTCCAGCATTCTCGTCACTGCTGATACTACCATTGTCCTTGCTGTGAGCACTTGACTCCCTYYCATTATGGTCATCATAATCACTGATGTTTGACGTCTCATCCTCCTCTTGTTCACCTTTCAATTCAGCCAATAAGTCATTAAGAAGCATATCGTTCTCATCTTCACTCAAGAATTCTATAGCTCTTTTTCTCCTTGAAGCATTTTGCCTCCATTTGTAGTTTGTATCATAACTTTCTACTTTCATGCTATCCCTCTTTTTAATGTATTTTCTCATATTGACTTTAGGTAACCATACAATCAGACCACGTGGTGTGCGTGATCTGTGGGGTATCCCTACAGGAGGGACGGTCAAAGGGCTATTTAGGGTGAACATCCACAGAGCAAGWCCGTTCTTTCCATCGAGAACAACGATTCTTGTTGATTTGTTGTCCAGTTGAATCATGATTGCGATGTCTGTTACTTTATCACCGAAAGAAATTATCGTTGGTAGGGCCCTGTAAAGAGATGATTCAGTGAATTCTCAGGTTGCCTAATACGCATGCYCTTAGTATGATCTCCGAAATTATCCCACATGGTTTAGCGCAGTTAACTATATTTCTATTTGTATCTTTATCGAAACTACAAAGTATGAATGAGGTTTAATTTTATATCTTACCTGCGAATTCCAGTAGATGTGAGTTTTCTGGACCATAAGTGACTTGTATCTTTGCCATTAATCGCTTTAACGGTTAAACCAGCCTCCAGGGAACAAAGTACAATGTCTTTGATACCATCGTTGTTCAAATCAGCAAATAATGGCGGCGTTAGTACAAGAGTATCTTTATATAACTCTATAAAACCGTATTTGTTGGGTGCATTGGGTCCCCATCTCCAGCCTTTYGTCGTTCTATTGTGTACTCGAGTCACAAGGTCCTCRATCCCAATWACAAGTAAAGTTCCTGTTTCCTGTGAATCTAGTTTCACGCCAACAAGAAGAACTTGCTTCGARTCAGTTACCTGATGCAAGCGAAGRAATACGTCATAATGGAGRTCTGATGTTTTACCCTTTATTACAGTTAAACTTCTACCAATGGGCTTTCCAGTTCTACCGGACAAAATACACAACTGAGCAGTAATACCAGTACGCGGTACGTAGAGAAGGACCACATCCCCAACGCCGTCATCATCTGTATCTCGAATCGCCCTGAAAGCTTTAATTGTTCCTGTCTTTTTCACTGTCCAGTGTTGACTGCCATTGTTAGAATCAATACGAAGAATTTTATTCTTATCCTCGAGTGCTATACAACTTGGCTGATCCTTTTTCACGCTAAGGTCACATAAAATGTTTCCAAACTGACCCAATACCCCTGATGCCCAAAGTTGTTGTCCATCGCCTCCGTCGATAGCCACTACTCCTCCATGGCATCCAGGGCAAGTATGGTTGAGAATGTGAAATCCGCGGCCACTRTGAGAAAACCCAACCARTATACGTTTAGAACTAGATGCGCCAGTGACATCGCGTAACACCAAGGGAGCTACACCRCTGAAGTTTTTCGACCAATTCGGCCATTTTGTTTCTTTCAAACATGTCTTATGATGGCAAGGAAGAATGAAAGCGAATGCGAAAACTGTAAACACACAAAGTAACAACGATGCAACAAGACAAATCCTCCTTTTGTTTGACATGGCTGGTTTCTCACTGTAGTCTTGTAGTTCTTTAAATGGTTGTTCGTTCTTTTCTTCGTTGTCTGAAGTGCTTGCTTCTGTATCGGCATCGCGGCTATCGGGTGATGATGGTCTCTTGTCGTTTGTTTTTTCGCTGCAAGAAGGTAGTGACTGATAGCTTGACCGATGTTCGTCGTTTCTTGCTTTCATTTTCGCTTTAAATCTGAAGATGTCAAAAACATACATACATTTCGTTTTGCTTTTTCAATTGCTTATCTTTTTAGCCTGAACAAAGTGTTCAACGCAGCCCCTTTGCCACATTGTTTGTTGCCAATGATGGCCGAAATGTTCAATTAAATTCTATACTGAAAAAAGAGCGTCCTTTTCTGTTTGATTAAATATAAAAAAACTCATTTTTTTCTCAAAAAAAAACCCAGAAACAACAAAAACAAAACAATAGGGATCCAAAAATTAAAATTAAATACTCTAACCCAACTAAACGCATTCTTACCTCAAGGTACTATATCAGCCTCACTTCTCCATATCAATTTTGGGACGAAGAAAAGCTTGAAACTTGCCAAAGCACTACAATTTGTGTGGTCGTAGGCGTTTTAAACCAGGCAAGATTTAAATGTTTCTCCAGGCGTTCTCTGAATTTCCCATTAAATCATTTCTAACCCCTCGTCGCAACAGATGTCCGTGTTCCGAACAATYAGTATTTGAACTCGCTTAGTAAAAGGTAACAAAAGGAACAATATAGCTATTAAAACTACGAGTTAACGAGAAGACGAGTTACCTGATGGCMTTTAGCCGGKTTTTTTTCCTTCGTCAAAACCGCTGTCCAGAATCAAGAAAAGCTTTAGGGTTAGTTGTTGATAAATCAACCGCGCGCGATGGTACAGGGATTGGTCAAAAACAGAGATGGCTTATAAAAACCAATTTATTAGTGACAAAAWTTGTCAGCATTTTGGGATAAGATTGGTAAAATCCTCTTTCCAGGATTTAATTGTTGGTTAACGTGTTTATGAACTATTAAAATGAAAACGCATTAGTCTTTCGTATATTATTCATGATTTTCAATATCATTATCGCTTTGTATGAATGTTTTATGGCTATCAGTCATTTTATTATTCAGCATAACAAATCCTCCATGCCCGCACAGCCAAATATCAGTCTACTTCAAAATATATGTTCCATTCGCTTTCATAACTCGGTTTTCTGGTCGACTATTATTTTATTCTCGGATGTTTTAAAATATCTTTTTCGCTATATTTTAAGCACTAAAAATCTCTGCTGTAAAAACATAAAATTGGCACTTATAAAAACGCCTGAACAATCCAATTTCAAATCAGTGTAATATATGGCCGATGTGACTAAGACCTTGGAAACAAACTTACTTTTAAATTTAGATACCATAATGGAAATTATAGCCACTAAAAACTGCAGCAGAAGAGAAAAGCGCTCGGGTATGACCGTGCGAAGCAAGGAGAATGAACAAAAGGTAATGCAAAGTCTACACTGAAAGAGACTAGACGATCATGACAACTTCAATGTAAAACTTTAATAACAGAAATATAAAACTTTATCGATGAAGAGCTACAAAGTAAAAAAAAAACAAATTCAGAGGTTACACGATTCTACCAGTAAAGCCAATCAAAACGAAAACCTCCGTTTTTGTAAGAAATAAAAAAAAAAACTGATCATAAATCTTATTTTAAGGCCCGCGTGTATCCGAGAACGTTTGCGAGATTTTCTCTCTGGAAAATCGCCAATATGATCTTGGAGAAATCATGGGCTGGGTTAATCCGTTTCCATTTTGTGCTGGTTTTTATGAAGATTATCATCGCGCGTGTTTTGGGGTTTTACTTTACACCAAYTGGAAAGTAACSTTTAAACTAATACAAACGATCGCAATGGTTCATGGGTACAAGTGGACCTTCGCTTCAATTCCATGTCGACGCGAACGACCATTCCTTGTGCTTTCTGATGTTTTTAAAGTTGCGTGATGATATAGAAATAAAAGGAAAGAGTTATCCACATAATAAGATGATAATAATCCATAATACYACCTCTGCAYAAGTGAGAAGGCCGCGTYACACGAGAAGGAAGTTCAGCATTCTGAAGATTGTGATTTCCAACAGTTTCACATTACAGTAAACCCCGATCGCATACAATACCTCTTTTGACATTATTCAGTATTATCGGTTTGGCTTCTTTTCCTGTTTAGGAATCAAACTGCGTCACGAATTGAACAGCATGACGACAAGAAATCCCTTTGTAAGCCTCTCTGAGGTATCACGTCTTGGAACCATAAACGCACGAAACACGAGCYGATAGTTACTTATTCAAACTCATTCAAACGCCATGATAACGATAAGACTTTACACGTTTATTTTCCTAACGTTTGCACAATTTTCAATATAAAAAGGGCAAAAAACACGTAAGATGCAAAATACTAGGTTAAAAACACGTCGTCGGGAGATGTGCGCAAAAAAAAGACTCTGAAACTACTATAGTTAGGTTATATAGGTTATAACCTCGATACTAACCGCTCTAAAAATTGAGATTTTTCAAATCGCACTAAAGTAAAAATAAAACAAAAAAACTAACTAAAGTCGAAMAAACGCAGRACCCGCGAGGATCATAGTACATGAATAGAATTCCTCCTCTCCTCTTAGTAACATGTATGGCCGACTTGCTCATCTAGCACAGAGTTCATACAGGTGATTGATGAGATATAGACCAATATTTTGACAGTCAATACTATGTGCCTTGGGGTGTGTGATAAGGAATTAAAGTTTGTTGTATAAACTGTGACTGGATTAGTGAGCGAAACGACAAAAAAACCTGTCGACCTCCTAGTTAGTTGTGCCATTGCCTGTAAAGCTGGGAAATACTGAATGATCCAGTATTTCTATGAATTTTAAGATACTCTTTTGACGCGCATTGTGGGAGGACATTGGCTTGTTTTGCTACTTTGTTATTTGGAAAAGAAATGGTCATATGAATTCGGTATTGAAAGGTTGAACTTTCTTTAATTCAGTCATGGTAAAGTCACTCGCGTGCTGTTCATTGTATTAACCTCTGTATTAGTTGTGAAACTATAGCTAATACACTCATTCTTTCGGCACAATCAATTCACAATCAATTCACGTCAAGTAGTCTGTGGTCTTGTATTGTTGATGTTTTGAGTATGACAAGCCCCTTATGTCCGTGAGTGGTGTGTTATATAACAGGTTAACAGGCTATGCGACGTCGCCACAAACCTCCCTTCAAATAATGAATTACTGTTAAACTTYTCTCATTTTCCAACAATCAATGTACTCTTTTCTTAATACGTTAAAAACGTCTCAGAGGGGTGCAGCGAAAAGAGAAGTACATTTATGAAATTTCAATTTGTTGCTCGGTTTTTGTACACGACAAGAATACACGGTAGTTGCCATGGACAAAGTCCTATAGTTTTTTTAGTTTTCATTCAAATACTACAAAAATTTCAGAAGTAAAATCATTAATCCTGACTCGAGTCCATAAATCCTTCTTATGACGATCATAAAAATATTAGACTTGATTTATTGAGGTCAAAATGAAATAGTTCATGCTCTTTCGCACTATTTTGCTCTGGTTCTAGTGAAATTCTTATGCAATTTTTTCTCAGATTCTGTGGCGAGACTCGCCGCCATTATATCCGGCTAACCAAACTTAGAAACTCTGAGGAGGGTTTGGAACTGTACTCCTTTTAAAACCTTGAGTCCTTATACTAACAAATGCACCGAATTTGTTATGATCAGTTGCTTCAGTTTACCATGTACTGTTTAGTCAACTGTTACAACCTCAGAGTTTAATATTCTAAAAAGATAGCAAACATGACATACTAATAAGAAGAGAGAGTAGATACAAACGATTTTTCAAACGCTGCGTTCTTGCAGTTAGTGTATGTGCTGTCAAGGTTATCATACGATTTACAACATACATGTACAAAGAAAAATACCGAAAAGAAATAGAAAAGTCCTGTATAAACGTAGATCGAAAACTCCGTTTGACTCAAAAGTGAATTGGCTTGATTTCATACATTATATACATTGTTCCTACTGCTTCACTGTGCATATATTTGACCATAATTTTGTGAAATAATTATCATGTACACCTTGGGGATACTTTAAGTTGTATTGGATTCAAACGTAACTTGGACCTTTCTGTAAATATCAAATAAGCCCGATTCCTTAAGGCTGATTTACACGGTACGATTTGTCGCGCGCGACTTGTAGTATACGACTTTCCTACTACAAGTCGTAGGATTTTAAGCAGTGGTTCAAAACCCTACTACAAGTCATAGGTTGCGTACGACTGTTGTAGACAAGTCGTAGGGGCATTTACACTGCGCGATTCAAGTCGTATACTACAA